ATGTACAGTATTTGCATAAGCCTTGCATAAAGCATTTTAAAAGGATTTTTAAATGATACTGCTGTTTGCTTGTTTCAATGACGCAATGCATAGGCTGGAATAGGTGCATAAGAATCTGCTAATTTCTTAGATATTAAAGCATCTAGACCCACCTTTATGCAAGAACTGTTTTTATATTTATTCTTTTATTATGACTTTTCTCATGGTCCTTTTTACTCTTCTATCCACTTAGTGATGATTAATAATGCAGTGTGTTTTCTCGTTAACTAGCAGCTTCAACAGAGCAGCAAAGACTGTCACGTCCGTAATGGAATGCAAAAGGAGTTTAGCATCAGCAAACAGCTGAAGAAGGGGATAATTGCGGCTCTAGTTTTATCCAAATAAACTAGGCCTATACAAGTAATCCATCTTCTTGCTCACGATTATTTAAAAGTTCATTTAAATGCCTAGCGCACAACCAGAAATGGACTATGGCATCATCAGGCACAAGCCCCTCCCCCTCCACAGAGGTATCTTGAACTAGGTCAGCATGTGACTGGTCAAGATGTCTTGAGTGATATGTTGTGTTGACAGGTATTGCATTAATAAGGAAGTGCTGGGGCTCCTAGAGACACACTGATTGACAAAATGCTGCCTCCAAGTCTGGCCAAGTTGACCTCTTGCCCACCTAGGAAAAATTGACCTCTGTAGTGTGTATGTGTGGGTTTTGGCTGACGCCAGAGAGATAGAAGTCAGCAGTATTCATAGCAATGCTCCCAGCAGACAGAGCATTTGTCTGTAATTGTCTATTAGTTGCATATAGATTCATTCCTGCTAAAAAATAAACGTTGAAACCAGCTTAAGATGGTCTCTCAGCCTGGCCAAGCAGGTATTTTTTATTTATTTTGTATTTAACTAGTTTAGCATAAGTCCTTATGGTTTGTCTTCATTATTTTCATAACCTTTGGCCTGATATAAGGTTTATATCTAGAACGGAGAAGGCCACCGTACTACTGCACATGATCTTCTGAACACTCCAGACTGTATTATTTCACTTTAGCTGATATCTTTGTTATGTTTGGCTGCTTTTGTGGCACTAATGTGATAGGAAAGGGCAGAAAAATAGTTTTTAGCTTAATGATCCTGTATTCAAACAGAATTATAGCTGGGGTAAGCAGTCTTGATATTCAGAAATGTCTGGAATGTGTTAAAGTTTAATGATAATGACTCTCTAAATTGTCCAAAGGCAACATGAGGATGGCACTTTGGTGGTATAAAAGGGAAAAATGAACTCTATAAAGCCTTGTTCTAAATAGTCCTTTTATGTGGTTTTAGCGACAGAAATATTTCAGAAATGAACTATCTCAGCAGGGTTGGGTGCAGAGTGCCTCCAATAGATTCATTAAAAAATCTCTCAAATGAGTCAGTCCTGAGGGGTTTAGCAAGTTGAGTCTGAGGAAATAGGAAAGACTTTAATCAGGGTGGACACCATGATTTGAAAGAAATCAGAGATTTTGGGTTGGACATACAGTCTATCAATTTATCAATGGGTTGTATTGTTATGTGCCATGAAGCACAAAAAAGACAAAAAAAGGCAATTTAACAAATATTATTTCACACACACACACACACACAGTATATAGTTTTTTTTTGTAGTTGTTTATTTCTTTATTTATTTACATGGAATGTAAACCTTAGACATGACTTGGAATCTGAAGACAGAACAACCTATTGATTGGACAGTACTTGTATCTCTAACAGCCTCAGTTTTCATTCACATCAAATTACATATAGCATCTGTGGATGATTTTCACATCTGCCAGCATGTGCTCAGAGGTCAATGCCAAAGAGAAATATCTTGTATTCTATGTCCAGGGACCTTTTCATTGTTAGGAGTAATTTCCCAAACTTTGAGACTGAAAGGAAGATCTATAATATTACTCAAGATGATCAAACACAGAGTAATTCAGTCTGACCACAGTTCCATAGAGTAGTTCAGTCAATACAGACGTATTATATACTAATAGAAGAACATTAGGTTAGGGGTCAGTAAATCCAGTTTTGTCTTTATTTAAACAGGTAGCTATTATGGTAATGATTGGTTCATTCTCTCCATTTATTTAACAGCCTCTGTGCACCAAAAAGAATTAAGCTTTGAATAATGTGCTGCACTTTACAGCTGCATCTTATTATGTACAATTACTCATGCACAAATACCATTATTTGATTTTGTAAGTTGAAAAGTTTTTCAACAAACTGCCTATTTCAATGTCATTAATATGCATTAAGTCTTTCATCTGGCTTTGTCATGCCATTAGTAACCCAGCAAAGCACAGATTTGTGAAGGGCCCTCTTAGATACGGGGCATTTTCAATCCATAATGAAGGTTTTTAATCAATACCTTGTAACCAAAAGCGTCTGGAGAACTGGGCAGACATAAAAAGCAGAAATGTGATTTCAGTCATTCATCACCATTGACCCACTCCTGAAAATGATGCCATGACACAACAGGGATATTATCGACTCAGCCAGGCTGAAAACATATTTCTTTATGGACCCCTCTTAGCTACGGGGTTCCCATATTTTTAGAACAATGAATCCATGAGTTTTCGAGTCTGTTTTTATTCTTTTTTTTTCTGTTTTTATTTACTTTTTTTAAAATGGTATTATTTTCCATTGCATTCCAGATATGTAAATCAATAAAAAAATTCCTGATATTTTCAGGTTTTCCAAGATTGTAGGAACCCTCAACTTCATGCGTCTTTAACAGTCAGTCTGCAACCACTAGGGGGTCTGTAAGGGGTACAACAATTTTTGTTAGATCCCAAACAAAATTTTGTGGAAAAAAAAAAGAAGAAAAATTGGGGTTAGATCTAGATTCATTCATTCATTCATTCATTCATTCATCCAATTTTTCACTCACAAAAATAGTATTTTAAAAAATGGTATTATTTTCCATTGCATTCCAGATATGTAAATCAATAAAAAAATTCCTGATATTTTCAGGTTTTCCAAGATTGTAGGAACCCTCAACTTCATGCGTCTTTAACAGTCAGTCTGCAACCACTAGGGGGTCTGTAAGGGGTACAACAATTTTTGTTAGATCCCAAACAAAATTTTGTGGAAAAAAAAAAGAAGAAAAATTGGGGTTAGATCTAGATTCATTCATTCATTCATTCATTCATTCACCCAATTTTTCACAAAAATAGTATTTTAAAATTATTAATAATAATAATAATAATAGTAGTAATCATAATAACAACAAGTAATGAAATAGCTCACAATCGATATTTTTAAAACTTGTTATTAACATTAACTTTTATTCTATTATTTTATCATGTCCATTTCAGTTTATTTCAGTTTTGTTCATTTGTTTTGTTCTGTTTTTTGTTTTTGTTTTCCATTTCCGTTGTTTTGTTGTTCTGTTTAGTTCATTTCTGTTTTGTTTTGTACATTTTTGCAAATATATACATTAATATAATACTTTATGCATGTTACGTTGATACATTTATATTTACATTTAATCATTTAGCAGATGCTTTTAACCAAAGTGACTTACAAATGAGAACAATAGAAGCAATCAAACTAACAAAAGTGCAACAATATGTAAGTGCTGTGAAGTCTAAAAAACATATTTCTAATGCAGTACAAGGTTTTTTTTTAATTTAATATTTTTTTTAATAATAAATAAAAAGAATAAAAAGTAGAATAGATATAGAATAGAGACAGCAAATGTTAAAGGGTTAATTTATTATTATTATTATTATTATTATTTTATAATAAATAAAAAGAAAACATGTAGATAGAATAGAAATGCTAGTGTTAGAGGGTCAAGATTTTTTTAAATATAATTAAAAAAATAATAATAATAAAATGAAAGTTTTATACTATACGTAACATGGGGTCTCTTTGTCATCTTCTTATGCACTGGCGGTCTGTAGTCTGAAGGACTTGTATAGCTAATAAAATGCATTGTGGAATGAGGGAGAAAAAGAGGAATTTGCAGTGTAACACGTCCAATAACAGAATAAGTCACATTAGGTGCTGTGTAAGTGTAAGCAGGTAACAGGAGCAGATACAGAGATAGAGTGGAAAAGGGCACTTGAAGAGACTTCAATTAGCAACATCAGTTCAGGTGTGCAGCCGGCCGTGAAGCCTGAGCCACGGGAGGGAGGGAGGGAGGGAGGGGGAGAAAGAACAGGCAGTGCTGAGGGGGTATCTGTTAAAGGGAACGGTGAAGGATGAACGCTGTCTGACATAATGATGTGGAAAATGACAAGCACCATTTCATATCTCCTGTCAAATCCTGTAATAATTGACACGCAATGCACACAATTCCTCACGGAAGTGACATACCGGCACACTCCACGCCGGCGTCAGGTAATGCAAGGTGCGTGATATGACAAAAGAGCCATTTATTTATGATGCTCGTGTTGAAAGATGGGTAAACAGCCCTTGTTTCATTTTCACAGGTACACGGAAATCCCTCGTGGCTTCAGAGAAACTCACAAGGCCCACGTTAACTGCGCAGAGGAAGATGATTGATGGTGGTTGTAAATCTCAGCACTCTCTCGTTCTCATCAGACTAACATTGTTAGCTTTCCTCTTCCCTTTCTGATCCAAGGAAAAATCATGATTCAGTGTGTTGTTCCTTGCACTGTACATGAAATTGCTACCTGTCACTTTCAATGCACATTGATTACGGCAGCAGCGTGGGCCGTGGACAGAGGGTGATTATTTGTCTTTAAAAGCCATTCAGTGGATGTGGTGCTTTTGCGTGGTGCGTGTCACTGTTTCAGAGTTAATTACAGATGAGCAGTAATAGCTGCGAGATGCTCGGTGAGTCACGAGCCAGAGACGCAGCGACACACTCCACATGCTTTTGTCGTTGGAGGCCCGCACTTCACCACCCTCGGTCACAACGGGAAAATTGTCAAACCTCGCTGTTAGCTTGGACCCTGATGAAACGAATGAGCTTGGAGAAGCATAGCGATCAAATCTTTTGTGTTTCTGTCTTGCAGATCCTTCGCTCCACCACCGGCAGAAGGCAGTGGTTTCTGATCTCACTTTCCAGACAGGCATGTCGAGCCTGATGGACTTTGGAACTCCAGATTCTTCACTTGACAAAGGTAAGATCTCCAAATATGCATAAGCAGTGCTTATTTTCCACAGGCTGTGGAGCTCAGGTAATTTATCACAACGCTGAAAGGCAAATAAAACAAAACCATTGTCCTTTGGATTTTCAGCTTCCCCCCCGCTTATGTGTTTGTGAGGAGAGAAATGTATGCGACTAAAGAAATGCACTTCTACAAATTGCGAGAGTCATCTTCCAAGAAAACAAAAAAAGCTTTGTCTGATTCATGTAATGTCACTCGCTGCGGGGAGGCGTTATTATGAAGTGTATTGATCAAACTGGGAATTGAACAGAATCTCTACGTTTTATTCTAGACATCCCATTTTCCACACATAATGACGCCTGTTACTCTCTATTGCCTTTCCTCCGGAGTGCTGGCCCTCTAAATCATAATCTTTATGTCTTTATCAAAGCCAACATCACAAAGAAGCCAAACTACCCTCGTAGGATGATAGAGGGTCTTCATTTTAACCAGTACCGGGAATAGTTTTCAACTTCACTCAGGCTGATGGCGAACACTGCATGCTAATGCATTGACGGCACCCGTGGCATGCGTTAGCATGTGCTTTATACTAGTATACACACACTAATATACATACTCATTTGTATTAGTTTGTGCGGTCTGTTTTGCTCTCTTTTTCTAGTCTTATGTTCATTTCTGTTTTATTCTGCTTTCTTGTTTTGTTCTGCTGTTAATTTCTGTTCTGTGCATCTTTCGCTCCAAATTAAAGCAGTTTACAGTCAAAGAATTTTAGCCCGACTTTTGCAGCTACTTGTTTATTATACTTATATTATATTATTGAGAGAGAGAGAAGCTTTAATATATATCCAACTTTTAAAATTACTAAACTTATATGTTTTCCTTTTGAGCTCTGTGTGAATCTGTATATAAATAATTAAATTCAGTTGATTCCTTTGCATAGTCATATTTTCTTTCTGCTTCCAAACTTTTGCAGCAGCAGAAGTGTTTCTTGTAAAGTGCCTTTTAAATGCATTTAAATTTATAAAAATTTCAATAACGACATCTCAATCTTCAGCAGAAAGTGAATTGCGCTGACTCTCGCGAGAAATGAATCCAAATGACGCTTTGCTGATGTTCCGTGTGATTGGCTGTTTGCTGCACGTGTCACGCTTTCAGGTGCACGCACTCCAGAGAATGTATATATCGAGCTTTGTGAGCCCGCTGAACCTAAACCAGGTTGGCTTTATCAGGTTTTGTCAACTCAAAACTTACTCTGCAACTCTGAGTTTGTTCATCTCGCTTCGTGCTACAGGCCACTGTTCATTTCTACTGTTGTTTTCCACTCTATTGTTTAATTCTGTTCTTTTCGTGTTCAGTTCTGTGTGTTCATTTTTATTCTGTTTTGTTATTCATTTCTATTTTGTTCATTTCTGATCAGTTCTATCCTTTTAGTTTTCTTCTGTTAATTTCTGTTCTTTTCATTTCTGTTTTATGTTGTCATTTCTTTCTTTTCTATTCTTCTCTATTCATTTGTTATTTTCTGTTCTGTTTTCTGTTCTGTTCATGTCTGATTTGTTCTTTTTTATTTTGATCTCTATTGGTCTCGATTTTGTTTTGTTCTGTTCATTTCTTTTGTTCTGTTCATTTCTTTTTGTTTTGTTCTACTTCGTTCTTTTCTTTTTCGTTCTGTTTTGTTTTACTCTATTCAGTTAGTTTTTGTTTTATTGTGTTGTGTTCTGTTCGTTTCTATGCAATTAGATTGTTTTGTTTTGCTAATTTGTTCTTTTCTATTTTATTCTATTCTAACAAAAATACCTGAAAGTACCTTGCTGTCACTGTATTATTGCTATTAGACATGTACCATAGTAATACTGTGTTGTTTGTAGTGATATTTTTGATTTGTAGTGACCCATATGCTGGCCAGGCTGTTTAATCAGCCCGAATTTGTTCATTTTGAGATAATTGGCTGATGACGCTGCCTGCTGCCCAGCTGTTTTAGATTTTTGTGTATGTATTTTACCATCCATACCATAGTGTATGTCAGCGTATCACGGTATTTTCTGATGCCATCACTTTACGTTGATGCTGCTACAGAATCATTCTGTTCTATCTGTTCTTTCTCTTTCTCTCCTGTTTTTTAAATCTTTTTTTCTCTTTCTATTCTGTTCCCTTGCGTTGTTCGTTTCACCCTTCGTGAAAGGCATTATTGATGTTGTGCTTGCTGTCAGTACTTCATTATTCCCAGCCGAGCCTTAAATTGTTTTGAAAGATAATGCTCGGTCTGCCAGGCAACTGTATCTATGCAGTTGAGAAATAAAAGGAAGCAGGCAGCCGTATTAGAAAGGCTTTAATGTACTAAATTCATTACTTTCAGCCTCATGTGCCCATACAAGCTCACTTATGTGCAGCACCCCTCGCAAAACAACAACCCAACAAATACTCTCCAGCTGAGCTTTCCCTATTGAACACGTGTACATTTAATCAACACACAAGAGCTCTTGGGCCCATCCTGTCTGATATTAAGGCGGTCACTCATTCATTACACAAACAGCATATGCTTCAAAGTATCACATTGAGTTGGTTGTGTATGAACTGGTCATTTTTTTCCTCAGCAGGCACTCTGAACTCAGCACCAGCATCCTGGTCTTTAAGAGAGAGTGATAAAAGGAGAGATGAGTCAGTGTTAAGACCCTGAGAGCCCTTGAGTCTTTCTGCCTGGCTGTGTTTGAGACTGCCACTCGCTATAGGTTGAAGCCGGTGCACTGTGACAGAGAGTGGGCCCCTATCTGCCGGTGGCTCCATTAGTTCCATGAGAAAGAGGACACTCATCCATCTCTTTATCTGACAACACGTCCCACAGATCCCTACTGCAAAGAATTATGGGATGTGGAGGGAGAAAGATGGTGGACAAAAGTGGATATACTTTTAGTTCAAGAAAGAGCAAGTTTGTGGGGTTTATAAGGGTCACAGTGATTGACATGCCTTAAAAAGATAGTTCAGTCAAAAGTGAAAGATCAGTCATCATTTACTCTCTCTCATGTCATTCCAAATTAGTTTGCGTTTTTTTCTTAAATGAAAGGTAAACATTAAAAGCTCCTTTCTACACTATAAAAGTGAACAGCTCCAAAAATACACACATAGTCAATTTTTTTATTTTATAGTTCATATACAGTATAATTTTAATCTATTAATAGGTTTGTTAATGGTCATTTTTAGCTCATTTTGAAAAAATATTATGTAAAATATGTTCAACTTTTGCAGAATATCATGAATGTTCAATTTCTATACAAAGGAAGTGAAAAGCTCAGAAAATGATCCCTTTTTACTAAAGTATTATATATTTCTTTTTACATGTAATTTAAATTCCATATTTTCTTTTTCTCCATTTTATGAATTAATCGGTTTGATAATAGATGCATTTTTAGCTAATGTTGTATGACATTGTTGTATGACATGAAGAAAATGATTTAAAAAATACCATAAACGGAGCATATAAGTAGACCATATCATTTTATTTGATAGTTTTTACTTATGTTGTACTTTTAATTGTAATATTAAGCGATAAGTAAATAACACTAAAAATGACACAACAACATTTTTTAATAAAACTACTTTAAAACTAAAACTACTAATACTATATGATAATTTGTGTAAATTCAAGTGGTATGGACTACTTTCACGGTTCTTATAAATCTTTTTGGTGCTCGACAGCCTTAGTCCCCATTAACTTTCATTAAATGACAGAGAATACAATTAATATGAGTTTGAGTAAGTAAATGATGACAGAATTTTCATTTTTGGGCGAACTGTTCCTTTAACATTAAGAGAACAGTCAGTCTGTGTCTTGTTTCCACCATTAGATGGAGCTGCGGTGCCTCTGAAGAGAGACTCACCTGCCCTCTCACCTGATCAGAAAACTGTTTGTCTCCTCCCCCTGTCCCATGAATGCGGCTGTTCAAACACGGCTGGGAAAAGCAGTGCCATTTCCCTTTTGAACTCTCTGCACCTTTTAGGCCAGGAGGAGTGTGTGTGCAACCGAGAGCAAGAACAGGTAGGAAGGGTGTAGAGGGGGTGGGGAACTTTAGAAAACGCCCAAAAGAAACTCCCAGAACAGGTATACGGGCTCAGAGAGGAAGGCGGCTCAAACTTGTTTGTACTCACTCAAGAACACCTCCCTAGTAACCTGTCAGGGAGGAGTGATCCGTGTACCTATGTGTGAGTGTGTGTGTGTGTGTGTGTGTGTGTGTGTGGGAGGTTTAGTTGAATTTTCTTGCTATGAGAAGAAGCACCGGCACTGACAGTGGAGCCCGCCGGAGCCGGCACTGTGGGGAGCATGAGATCTGAAAAAGAGGAGGGCAGACCAGGTGAGTGTTTGTGTGTGTACGTGAGTCCAAGATGGAAACCACAGGCATAACGCACCCCTGAATCATATAACCAGCTGACGAGGCATGTAAATCTGATTGTATGACAATGCACAGAGGCTCTTCACGTGTACCGGCAGGTGTTGGGTGACCTGTATCAGTGATTCCCAAACAAGAGGTTCTTTGCTTTGCTAAACCTTTTGTATAAGATAGTCAGTTCCTTTTTGAGGAAATCCATTAGGCCATAATATAAATGAAAAAGTTCACATTTCAGGTTTTGTGTGTTATGGACTTGCTGTTGAGGCAAATAAGTCTAAAAAGGTTGGGAAACGCTGACCTATATCCCATACTGCCCTTTAGTACTTTGATGGATGACCAACTTTTAGATTATTTGATGAGTCAAACACATACAAGGCATGTACTTGTCTTTAATATCATGTAATCTTGAGTAATACTATGATTTACCATGTGTGACGTGTAGCCCAGTAATCAGCTGTAATTACGTTAGTGACACATATGTTGTTTGTGAGGTCAAATGAGATGGTGGTCATACAGAGGCATCATGCTGTCGTTTTATGTGAGGGATATTTGCGCATCCCTTAATCTGACCAATGATCTGTCACAATAATCTGCTTTGAATGTATAAAAATGTATGAGTGATCGAGTGAAATG